GGGCGGAGAGAAGCAGAGAGAGAAGCAGACTCCCTGCTGAACAGGGAGCCTGATGTGGGACTTGATCCCGAGACCTGGAGATCATGGCCTGAGCCAAAGGCAGACACTCAACCAACTGAACCACCCAGGTGGCCCCAAATTCACCATTTTAAAGTGAAAAACTTGGGTGCCTGGATGGCTCAGTTGGTTAAGCGTCTGCCTTCGGCTCGTCATGATCTCAGGGTCCTGGGATTGAGCCCTGCCTCGGGCTCTCTGCTCAGCAGGGAGCCTGCTTCCCCCTCTCTCTCTGCCTGCCTCTCTGCCTACTTGTGATCTCTCTCTCTGTCAAATAAATAAATAAAATCTTCAAAAAAAATAGAGCGAACAACTCAGAGACATTTAGTACATTTATAACATGGTACAACTACTATCCCTATCCATTTTCGAAATACTTTCATCGTCTTAAAACGAAACCTCATACCCGGGAAGTAGATTCTGCCCGTGGCCCTCCTACCTCCAGCCCCTGTTTTCCATCTCTGTGGATTTACTGACTTGGGGCATTTGACCGTTTTTGAAGGGCTTCTCCATTCATGTCTTGTTTTCAAGGTTCATGTGCATTGTAGCAGGTGTCATTGCCTCATTCTTCTTCATGGACATAATTCCCCAAGCTGGTGGATGGGCCACACTTTGTCCACCCACTCGTGGATAACCAGGTGTGTCACCTCCACCTTTCAGCCATGGGGAACAGGGCTGCTGTGACTATGAACGTGTCAGTACGTGTCTGAGTACCTGATTTCACTTCTTGTGGGGACTCCCAGTCCTGCTGGTGGAATTTTTGGGTCACATGGCCAGTCAGTTGGTAAGATTTTAAAAATCTTTCCTTATAATTCCTAGGCTTGAGAGAGAAAAGGGCGCCTGGGTGGCTCAGTTGGTGAAGCATCTGTCTTCGGCTCAGGTCATGATCCTGGGGTCCTGGGATCAAGCCCCACATCGGGCTTCTTGCTCAGCAGGACACCTGCTTCTCTCTCTCCCCTTTGACCCTCCCCCTGCGTGTGCTATGCTCTCTCTCTCTCTCTCTCTCTCTGACAAATAAATAAATTAATTAAATAAAATCTTAAAAAAAAAAAAAAAGGAGAGAGAAGGAAAGGAGGAAGAGAAGAGGAAACCACTGTGTTGCTGAAATGTGCTGCAGTCCTGACTACCCTCCAGGGCCATCAAGCCTCCAAATGCCAAGGTCAATGTGAAGGGCAGGGTGTTCAGGGCCCTCTGTAACCAGGCTAGGGGGTGGGGGAGGAGCTCTGTAGGGCATCATGGAGGGGAGCGAAAACATTACAGACTCCTAAGGCTTTCTTTAGTCCAGTTGGACTTGGAGCCGTTTTAAACACTGTGTTTTAACCCCCTCCGTCCCAAGTCTTCCCGAGATTTGTGTGCTCAGAGAAGCAGGGATTGGTATGCGTTTCCACATTTTCTTGCCCCAGGCTGGCCTCTGTGAGGGCACAAAAACAAGAAAATGTCCCCAGGCTGCTCTAATCCCCAACCCCCCACCGACGCTGACCCCCCAGAAAACACGGCCCTGGGCAGGCGGCCTGGGCAAGTGGCCAGTCTTGGTCTAGAGCTGCTGTCAGTCGGTTTGGGTGTCGCCACCGTCCAGGTGTGGGGTTAGGGCGGAGACCTGAGGCCCTAATGTAGGGAGCATGTGGTGAGCCAAGCTCTGCGGTGTGTGGGGAGGGAGTATTTAAACAGGCCCTGCTTTCTGTGACCTCATCCCCTTGCTTTCACATGGGTCCCCTGATGTCTTCTCTTCATGACAATTCACATCATGATGCTTATGCTTGTAACCTCCATGCCAGCTCGTTATCTTTAAAACTTTTGGCGAATGTGCCCAGCGGACCTCCCCACACCCCCATCACACTTCCCAGTAATGTTTATTTTGAGGTTTGGTTACACTTACAATGAAGTTGCTGGGAAGGAAAGACCCCTTTCCTCCCCTCCCCTCTCCCCATCTTCTCCCTGCCCTTCCCCCTGTATTTACAGAGCCCTGTTCTAGGAGCTGGAGATAAGCAGCTAGCAGCATGGGCCAAGCCCTCTTTGCTCACAGCTTGCATGGAGGGAGGATGGCTCAGAATGAAAAGATACAAAAATAAACCAGATAATTGGGGTTGGGGTCAGTGCTACCATGTACACCCCAGGGTGCCCGATTAGAGGACAACCAGAGGCCCCCTTGCAGGAAAACCGAGGAGGCAAGAAAGGCCATGCAAAAATCCGGGAGAGCGGACCGGGCGGAGGCCGACTTTGGGAAGGAGCTTGCACTCTGCAGACCCGGGAGAGGAGAGGAGAGGCACTGAGCCCTGCTCGGCTGTGCTGACCTGGTGTCTGTGGGCCATTCCCTTACCCACCAGACCTTGCGCTTCGCTCTGCCCAGGGTGGCCACTCAGCAGACACACCCGCCTCTAGGCACTCTGGACACATGTGGTTCCAAGACGCCGAGCTTTATTTTAAGCCACCCCTTCCTACCTTCCCTACCCTCCTGCCAGGCTCAGGCATTGACCTTGCCACTGCCTTGCTCATTCTAGACTCCGGGTTGTCATCCTTTTGAAACTTATACTATTATACATTAATTATTAACTTTAAAAAAAAGATTTTTATTTATTTATTCGACAGAGAGAGATCACAAGTAGGCAGAGAGGCAGGCGGGGTTGGGGGGGAGCAGGCTCCCTGCTGTGCAGAGAGCCCGGTACAGGACTCGATCCCAGGACCCTGAGATTACAACCTGAGCCTAAGGCAGAGGCTTTACCCACTGAGCCACCCAGGCGTCCCAATTATTAACTTTATTAAAAATCTCAAACATAAAAGAAAGTGAAAAGAATAGTCACATAAACACCAATATATCCCACCGTTATTAACAGTTTGCCATTTTTGCTTGTCCTTATTCTATCCGTAAATAGGGTGGTGTTTTTCCTGAGTCATTGGAAGAGTGCAGAGTACTTCTTTATTATAAACATCATAGTATATATCTCTTAAGAATAAAAACATTCTTAATGTAATGACGTCCTTAGTGTAATAAAAATATATTCCTGATGAAATAAAAAATGTGATATACATAGACAACAGAAGATTATTCATCTGTAAAAAAGAAGGAAATCCTACCATTTGTGACAACATGGGTGTGGACATTATGCTAGGTAGGAGGACTCAGACAGAGAAAGACAAATATTATATGATCTCAAGTGTATGGGGAATCTAAAAAAATCAAACTCACAGATGCAGAGAATAGACTGGCAGTTGCCAGGGGTGGTGGTGGGGGTAGGGGGAAATGGGTGAAGGTGGTCGAAAGGTACAAGTTCCCTGTCGTGAGATAAGTAGGTTCTAGGCATGTAATACATAGCATGATGATTCTAGTTAACTATACTGTATTGTATTTTTGAAAGTTGCTAAAAGAGAAGATCTTAAAATCCTCATGACAAGAAAAAAAAACTCATAACTATGGGAAGTGATGGCCATTCACCAAATTTTGTGGCAATCATTTTCCAATATATATATTTATCAAATCATTATGTTGTACCCCTTCAATGAATACAATATCATATGCCAGTACAACTGGAAGAAAAGAAAAAAGAACAAAAGCATTCTCCTACATGGCCATAATCAAGATAATGGACAATGATCACTCAATGTCATCTTATATTCAGTCCATATTAAATTTCCCTAATTGGCCCCCAAATGTGCTGTTAGCATGTTTGAGCTGGGATTCCGTCAAGGATCATATATTACATTTGTTTTGTCTCTTTAGTGTCCTTTGGTACAGAACATCCCCCTTCTATCCCATTTTTCCCTCGGATATTGACTTTCTGAAGAACACCACCAGTTGTCGTAGCATGTGTAGAATAGCTTGTTAGATTATTTCCTTGTGGTGTCATTTAATTTGTTCTTCTATCAGCTACATTTCCTATAACCTGGAAATTAGGTCCAGAGGACTGATTAGATTCAGGTTAAATGTTCTTGACAAGAATCCTCAATGATATCAACTTAGTATCATCCTATCAGGGGACACACAACTTCAGTTTTCCCATTATTAGTGACATGAAGTTTAATCACATTCCTTGATGGTAGGAGAATGGTTAGACTTCTTTTATATTTCTCCACAGGGTCCAAAAAAGTTTGAGCAACCACTAAGTGTAATAGATACAGCGGGTTCTTTTTACTGGCGGTAGTTCTTCTATAAAGTCACTGAGAACACTGAATTAAGGAATACTGAAACTTTGCTTCCAGAACATCTACAGAATTCGGCTTCTGTGAGCCTCTGGTTACAGCCAACAGATCAGCACAGAACCTTGTTTTATGTGTGTTTCTGTCTTAAAACATTTGATTTAATATAGTTTTTGATTCATTATCATTGAGATGGCCAACAGCACTGTAATGCATTCCTGAATGAAGCTTATCTAACACTTGTACTTTCTCTGTAAGGCACATCACATCTCTATAATGCTGAAGTAGCCAACCCTCAGTCCTACGCGTGTGGGCTATTTTAAACAGCAAAATCACCAACACAAAGCACAAAAAAGTAAAAACTCTAGCACTCAGTAGAGTGGAGAAGAGGACATCTGCTTGTCGTATGGGAGCCAAAACAAGGTCACCTTCGTCATCCTCGGCTAGGGATGCACATGTGAGGAAACAAAATGTTTTGGGACATCTTGGAACATCCATGAACGAGGGCTTGAAAGCCACCAGTATTGATTTTGGAGATAACAGCTGGGCTTCAGTGAGTCAATGAATTTGAAATATGGAATCTTTGGATAAAGAGGATCCACTAAATATACTGGATCAAACCATCTGAAGGAGCTGTGTGACCTTCAATTCATTGCATTACCTCTCTGAGCTTTATTTTCCTAACCTGTCCTTTCAAGGGGTGGTCTTTGAGCTTTTCCCAGCACTGGAGTCCTGGGACCTGGGTGGGAATTGAACTTCTCTTGGTTTGGCTGTCTGTGGACATAAGGACCCCAATCCCTTTTCTTTCTGTGCAGGTTTGTGGATTTCCACGCAGCTGCCTCCACCTGCTCGCCCTCTCGGGCCTCCCTGCTCACCGGCCGGCTTGGCCTCCGCAACGGAGTCACGCACAACTTTGCGGTCACCTCTGTGGGGGGTCTGCCGCTCAATGAGACCACCTTGGCGGAGGTGCTGCAGCAAGCTGGCTACGTCACTGGGATGATAGGTAACACTGGAGCTCCGCAACTGGGGACCCCCGCCCCTGCATCTCCTACAGGATTCCTGCGGTGCCTGCCTTGTGTTTGCGAATACCCAGCATGCTGCCTGTTCTGCTCCTTTTTGTTTATTCCTTGCTCTATAAGGTCGGAAAGCTTTCAGCTATAAGTCATTGACAAGACCCAACAGGGAACTAAACCATATAGGGTTTAGGTTTTTCTCCCATTGTAATAAGCTTAGAGGTGAGTGATAGCTTTCATTGGCTCAGCTGCTCCAGGAGACCGTTTCTATTTTTCTGCTCCGCTCTCCGTAGTCCGTTAGCTTTCGGCCTCATGCTTGTTGCTCCTTGGTTGCAAGAGAGCGGCCTCAGTATCATTCACCATCAACCGGCTTCAAGGAAGGGAAAAACGAGAGAGCAGGTGCCGGGCCTCTACCAGGGAGAGACACGCCCACCCCTCCCCGTGGACATGCACTTACATCTGATTGGTGGATTTGCATGGCCACGCCCCACTGCAAGGAAGGCTGGGAAACTGGGCTTAGGACCCGGATTGGGGCGGGGGTCTCTAACCTGGGAACCGAACCCGACTTCTGTTTGGGGGGTAAGTGGGGGCACGCGGCAGCGTCTGCCACACTGTCCAGCAGTTGCCTTTCCTTTTAAAATCTGTGTGGGCACCTGTGATTCGGAAGTTCCTACCTGCCTGGCCCGAAGTTTTTATTTGCGGCAGGGCAGGGAGATGCCTCCTGAAGGGATGATTTCCCCCATTCTCTGTGTGAGGAAACCGAGTTTCCGCCGGGTCAGGGGGCCTAGGGGGTGCTCACCGCCCAGGAGCGGTGTGTCTTGCCCAGCCCGGCTCTGGTGCTTTGCTTCAGGGCTGGTCCTCCCTCCCGAGGCCAAGGCGGCGCGTCGGTCCCAGCGGCCCCCTCCGGCTGCCGCGGCTGTTATTCCGACTTCGCAAGAGCTGGTCCCGTGGGATTCCCGCCTCCCTCCTCTAAACCTCCCTGAAGTGGCAAGGGAGGGGCCCCGTGGGGGTGTTAACCCACAGGAGGCCCCAGTTTCGGGGGTTGGCCCCCGCCTCCTCCTCTGGGTCAAGGAGCCTGAACTTTTTTTTTTTTTTTTTAATTTTCTGAATTATTTTATTTTATTTTTTGATGAAGTGTTCCAGGATTCATGGTTGACACAGAGCACCCAGTGCTGCACGCATACGTGCCCTCCTTAATACCCACCCCCAGGCTCACCCATCCCCCCACCCACCTCCCCTCTAAAACCCTGTTTGTTTCTCCGAGTCCGCAGTCTCTCCCGCTCTGATTCCCCCCCCACCCCACCCCACCCCCGCTTCATGTCTCTGCCCCATCTCCTAATGTCCTCCGTGTTATTCCTTACGCTCCACAAATAAGTGAAACCATGTGATAATTGACTCTCTCTGCTTGGCCTATTTCACTCAGCATAATCTCTTCCAGTCCGGTCCATGTTGCTACAAAAGTTGGGTATCCATCCTTTCTGATGGCTGCATAATATTCCATTGTGTATAGGGACCACATCTTCCTTAGCCATTCGTCCGTTGAAGGGCATCTTGGTTCTTTCCACAGTTTGGCGACCGTGGCCATTGCTGCTATGAGCATTGGGGTGCACATGCCCCTTCTTTTCATCCATCTGTATCTTTGGGGTAAATACCCAGATGTGCAATTGCCAGGTCACCGGGTAGCTCTATTTTCAGCTTTTTGAGGATCCTCCATGCTGTTTCCCAGAGGGGCTGCACCAGCTTGCATTCCCACCAGCAGTGTAAGAGGGTTCCCCTTTCTCCACCACCTCTCCTAAGATTCGTTGTTTCCTGCCTTGTTAATTTTGGCCGTTCTAACGGGTGGAAGGGGGTATCACAATGTGGTCTTGATTTGACTCTCCCTGACGGCTCATGATGGGGAACATTTTTTCGTGTGTCTGTTATAGCCATTTGTATGTCTTCACTGGAGAAGTGTCTGTTCACGTCTTCTGCCCGTTTTTTTTGACTTGATTATCTGTTTTGTGTGTGTGGAGTTGGAGGCGTTCTTTATAGATCTTGGATATCGGCCCGGACCTACTTTTATAGAAGGTCAAACTGGAGTGTGGCAGGCCCCGGTGGGAGGAGGTACAAATTACGATACCGTCTTTTCAATCCCTGCCTGCCCGTACCCTGAGGTATACTCACTGTGAAGCCCCCACGCTGGGCTGAGTGTCCTAACTGGCCCCATCGCTTGCATCCGGGTCGCAGTAACAGCCCGGAAGCGTTTGGCCCCTGGGGCTCTCTGACTCTACAGTTTCATGAGGCAGCAGGGGGCTGGGCGCTTCCTGAGCTGAGCCGGGTCCCACTTGCCTTTCCCTCTTCATGTCTTTGAACCCCAGGTGAACAACTGATTATATATTAACTGCTCAGCTGCTCCCCTCTCCCCTCACTGCTCATCCCATCATTTGCATGTTAGAGGATATCCAACCATATCCGTGTGTTGACATCATGAACTTCCTATAAGCATGCTTAGGGGAAAAATTAAAAAAAAAAAACCCACCAAGGGAATATCAAACCCCTTTGCCCCACCCACGCTTCGCTTCTAACATGGGTCCACAGTCATGTATTTCTACCTCGTTGTATACATACCTCTTGGTCCTCCTTTTAACCCCTTCTTGTTATTTTATATTTCTGTGTCACACAATTTTACATCTTTCAATAATTTTAATAATTTTAGAAATAAGTTAAACACTTTAATTTTGGATTTCCACCTTATGCTTAATCCAAGCTTTCCACATCGTGCCGAAGCCGTTTGCTTCTGCTTTATATTACACTTTTTCCCCCAAACCTACAGCACAATTGCAAAAAGGAAGTAATAGACACTCATCTGCCCTTTCCCTAGATTTCCTGATTATTACCTTTTGCTGCATGCATTTGTCGTTAAAAGATAGTTTGGTGGTATCTTGTCAAGGCCATGTAAATAATTTACTTAGCCATCCTCCCACAGTTGTGCGTTTCTTTCTTTTACGTGCTGTTCAGTGCTGGCACTGTTTAGATCTTTGGACCACATTCTTTTCTCTGTCCCTTGCCTTGTGGGTGGTTTTCCTGGGGTCTTTACTCCGAGCAGAATTATTATGTCCGAGAGTTCAGCGCGGTCAGAGCTTCTGCCACACGTTTCCCAGTCATTCTTCCCTACCAAACACATGTACAGAGTGAGGAGCAGCCATGCACGTCCAGGCCAGTCTCTCTGCAGGGGAACAGCCTCGGGAAGGGGGAGGTGGTCTTCCGTCCAGCCTCTGCGGGCTTCTGAGGGTGGTCGGAGAGGAAGATGATGAAAGTAGGAGGGAACCAGGCATCTCCAAGGCAATATGGGGCCCACACTTGTCCTCAGGGTCTTTGTAGAGCCCCAGCGAGGGAGGTCGGAACAGGTGCAACGGGCACTGTGGGATTGCTGTGGGCACTGAACCCACTTTGAGGGGCAGAAGCTCAGCACGCTGGCGTCTGTGGGCCCCCAGTGAAGGCTTGCCTTCTTTTTCTTTGTGTGCTTTCCTGCATAGGTCCTGAGTCATCGTTGCTTGCTTTCTGTGTCCCCGTGGACTCCCTCTCAATCCCAGAGAGCGAGGCTTGGCTCTCACCCAGCATTTGCAGCCTCTCTGCTTGCTTCTGAAAAGGGCAACACGGATGGAGGACTGGGTATGTGCTCAGCTCCCCAGAGGCACTGGGAATCCCCTTGGGGGTTCCCTCTGAAAGTCTCTCTCTTGCTTTCCTACAGGCAAATGGCATCTCGGACACCATGGCTCTTATCACCCCAACTTCCGTGGTAAGAATTCTTTGGGATACTTGTTACCTGGGAAACAGAAAGTACAGATCGTGGTGTAAAAGGCTTCCATAATATTTAAGCCATCCTGCTTCTGGGGGACACCCCTCCCAAGTTAGGATGTCCTCATTCACGGGGTCACTTAGGTGCAGTTGGGAGACCTATGGCACCCCTTGTTCTCACATTGTTTTCTCCTGGCATCTTTCCTGGCCCCTTCCCCACCTTGGTGCCTGCCAGCCCTTCTGGCTTTCTCGTCACAAGTCCATCAGGGTCCACATCTCAGGAAACATTTGGCCCCTGGGAGATCCAGACATGTCTAGTGCAGTAAGAAGTAAAAATTATCCAGTGGGTTCACAGAAGCAGGCTATAAACCCACACAGGAGATGCCCCGTCTTGCCTCCTCCCTATAGCTATTCACTGCCTCAGACTTTTGACTCTCTGACCTTGGGGAATAGGCCAAGATCAAGCTGCCTGGGCCAATTACCTGGAAATCAGTTTGTTGATTGATGAGTTCTCTGAATGTCCAATTCACCGAATTATTGATGGTTTTCCAAAGTTGTGGTTTTGGCCTCTGCTCTCCCCGTGACCTGCCTCCTCCTTTTCAGATGGGAACCCACAGACTTTCTCTTGAAGGTGACTTGTCATCATCTCAGCAGCTCAGGCTTCTCTGGGGTCCTTCCCTGAGCTTGCTTCCTGGTGGCTCCTGCTATTTTATAAGCGAACGGGCGGGCTTTTCCTTAACAGTGGTTCTCTGAGTATTTTGTGGACTTCTCCACCCCTCACTCCACCCCAGCATCTCCCTCTAGCTCCATGGAAAGAGGCTGCAGTGCTCTCTGCTATGTGTGGGGGAACGTATGCATCTGCAGATTTTTCCACTTGGGGAACAGCTTCCAGGGAATCGGCCAGCAACCAGCCTTCAGCCGCGGGCTCTTACCGGCCAGCACCCTGTCCCTCTCCTTCCTCCTCTCTGGTGCTCCTTCCTCCTCCTCTCTTCCCTTGTGCCCCGTCTTTTTAGCTGGACTTCGCTAGCATCTTCCACGTGTGCTTTGTAAGGAGTGGCAGGTAAAGGAAGTGAAGACCTGGCCTTTCCACTAAAAATGACAACAGAACATACTTTTCCCACTTGCGGTTGCTTCCTCCTTGACAAATGAGGAGGTTGAACTAGATTGGGGTGTTGAAACCTGGAGTCCTATGCTGGGTGGGGGATGGATCCTGAGAGAGGATCCCACTGAGCAGAATGAGGTGGGGCCATTTTGGACTTGTGGTGTCTGCGGTTGGGACTGAGAAGAGAGAGCACCCGCCGTACATTTGTGTCCCTAGACCAGCTCATCTCAAAAAGCCTGCTGGCTTGGGTACTCTGAAGTTTCTTGATTCCTGTCTCTGAGTTCGTTTGTGTCTCCTCCTGCTTCTTTTACCCCTTCCCCGATGTGCTGTCCTGGTGCTCCTTTACCCTCATTCAGATACACCCTCTTCTAGTTTAATCTGCATATCTTACTTCCCTTCAGGCCCTTGCAGGCCCTTGTTTATGTCCTACAGTGCCTTGCCCGTACCTGACTTTTCACCACCTCCTTCCTGGATGTGTTCGTAAGTGCACTGGCGATCGGAGGGGTGCCACACTTCTTTCTGCTTCCTCCCACTCTGGGTTAACTCTAATCCCAAGATGTTTGGCAAAGTTAGTCTTACAGCCAGAACCCAAAAAAGTGTTTTCTTCGCATACTACAAAGGGATATTAATCAAATCCTCTTTTAATTACATACTCCATAGCCCTGCAGTATTAAATCATGGAAAATTAAATTTTTGTCCTGGGTGTAAGAATGCAGACTCATAGAACAGAAGGCAAGTGGGGGTGCTCACCAGTTGCTTCTCTTCCAGGTTTTGATTACTACTTTGGAATCCCATACAGCCATGATATGGGCTGCACGGACACCCCAGGCTATAACCACCCTCCTTGTCCAGCGTGTCCACGGGACGATAGAGCAGCAAGGTAATCCCATCCAAACAACTGGCAGTGGGCTCCAGAGCCAGGGGAAGTCCCCAGGGTATCGTCCGGTAGGTGTCAATGAGGAAGGCCACAGGAGAGAGTTAAGTCAGTAAAAAAGAGTAGGTTTAGTGCAAATTTGCGTTATTTGCATGGAGTATAAGCAAACTTTTAACAAGGGTTAGGTCAACAAATTTTCATTGGAATTGTCCGGTTTCCTTGGATTGTTTAGCTCAGCTGGGAAGAGCCTGGTGCTGCCTTGGACTTACCCATGTGGGGTCTCGCTCCACCTCTGCCTGCTGGCTTCGCTGCCAGGCCACTCACCTGGCCTAGACACTGGATGTAAGAGGGCTAGAGAGAGGGAGAAGACACTCAGGGCTCCTTACAAGCTTCGCCACCCCCCGCCCCCTGGCAAAGAAACCAGCATCTGGCTTTGAAATGCCATGCTGTCACTCCGCGGGATGCTTTAAAATCCTCTTCCATGGAATGGGGAAATGCTCAGGACATACTAGGACGTGACAAAAGCAGGAACAAACTCACAAGCAGTGTGCTCTTAGCTGCCTCCGTGTCCATAGCTTCATGGCCCTACACAGTGGGACTCAGAGGGAGGAAGCCCGAAGCGCTAACAGTGGCTCATTCCCTCTGGTTGCGGGACTAAGGGGTTTTCATTTCGTCTTTCTTTCTCGTTGTATTTTCCTAATATTCTGTGATGAGTGTGTGGTGCATTTAATATCAGAAAAATGTGCTAAACTTTACTCAGGCAACAACAACACAAACCAGCTGTTCCTGTTTCTCAGCCCGCGCACTGCGGTTATTGATAAGGTGACGGGTGTCTGAGCCCCTGGGGAAGGCAAGTCTCCGCTGGCTCATTCATAACATGATAGTTAATGTAATAATGTCCACGTACTGAGACGTCGTCACAGTGTGGGCACGCTCCGAGCATATCCGCAATCCACGCGACATTGTGCGAGGCAGGTATGTGGCCTGATTTTAGAAGTGAGGACCCTGGAAAGGTACAGGTAAGGACCCGCTTGCCCAGGTCACCCCGCAACGGTAGGAGGTAGAGCTGGTGATTCCAATCAGGGTCTTCCTGAGTCCAGAGCCTGTGTGCCACTCAGACCGTGGTCTCTGGCCCATCAGTGTGGCTGTCGTGTGTGTGTGCTTGTCAGAAAAGCAGAATGTCAGGCCCCCGCTCCCCCCAGGCCCCAGGTCTGCATTTTCACCGGATGCACAGGGGATTCGTGTGCATGTGGCAGCGGGAGAAATGAAGCTATAGCTTGTCTCTCTGCCCTCCCTACCAGCCGCGGCCCATGGGCCACACTTGGCCATATCGTGGCCTGCCACAGGTCAGCCGGGTCCCTTTAAGTCCATGTTAAATCAGAGAAAATAAAGGGTTGGCTTAGGGGGGGTGAGGTTGCTGGGGAAGGGGAGAGATTGTAGGTAATGGTGGAGTTGCCACAAAGTCATAACAACATGAAAAACTTGACACTGACAGTGAGGTTAGCATTAGCATGCCTATTACGGTGATAATCCTTTTTCTCTTTTCCAAAACCTGTGGCCCTTGGTGATTCTTTACCCCAGTCTGACTTGTCTCCTAAGCTTTTGGAAGGGAGTGTGTATGCATCTAGGTATGATGGGGGATTTTCTCCTCTTTCCAGTCCTTCCTGCCCCATGAGGACAGTTTCCCTCCCTGAGATGCCCCTTGTTCCCTCTTCTCTCCCCGTGGTTCCCAGCTTCTCTCCTGATGCGCTGTGGCGGCTGGGTTGGAAGGCCGAGGGTTGATGGTGTTGCTCATATGCCGGGCAGCGTGCAGAGCACTAACACTCGCTGTCCTGTTTTGTCCTTTCAAGGCCTCATCAGAGGGCGGGGGCACACTTGAGATAAGGAGAGTCAGGTTCTGAGAGCTTAGGTAACTCGCCCACGGGTCACGGCCAGAGTTATTAATCAGCCACTCATGCGGGAGCATTCATGGGTCGGTTCATCTCCAGCTCTAAGACCATAGACTTTGTTTTTTGTTCAGGAGCTATAACTGGTTTGACTCCCACTTTTTCCAGTGGCTAAAGCTTCTCTAAATTTTCCAAACATGGTTGAGATGTTTAAACTGTCCCCAGCTCCCTCGGTTATGGTCAGATGTCAGGTCACATGAAGTCCCAGCGGTTGACCTAGGAAAGCGCCCAGCATCGTGCCCTGTAGACAGAAGCCATCATTTAGGGAGGTCAGCGGAAAAAGCCAGGGATGGCGGCTATTGGTTGGCTGTGGGACTCAGCTTGAGTAATTTAGTTTGTCTGGACCTCAGTTTCTCTTGCAACAAAATGGGAATAATGTCTGTAGTTCAGGGAAGTCTTTGTGAGCTTTGCAGAGTGGCCGGACTTGTCTGAGGAGCATAAAAGTCTGTTAGAAGGAAAGGGAAGAAGGTATTTTATTGATTTTTGCCCTGGAGGAAATGACAGATGGGAAAAATCATCTGGGGCAGGTTATTAAGTGTTTTGTGTTCATGCACATTGCATCGCTGCGTAAAAGCATTTTGTTTGACACGATGGCTACTTAGGTCATGGAAATGAATACCATCTGTGGTTTCCACACAGGAACCTTGAGAGGGACTGTTACACTGATGTGGCCCTTCCTCTCTATGAAAACCTCAACATCGTGGAGCAGCCCGTGAACCTGAGCAGCCTGGCGCAGAGGTACGCCGAGAAAGCTACCCAGTTCATCCAGCATGCAAGGTAAGAGTCCCCTGGCTCCCCAGGGCTGCCCCCCGACCCCCACCCCGCATGTCCCCTGGCCTCAGGGCCCCCGCAAGCCGTGCTGGAGTTCCTTTGCGCAACAAAGATGGATACATGTCTGTTCCCTGGAGAACAGTCTCCCCTGGGATCTCCAGGCCTGGGTGAGAAGCTCTGCAGGTATGTTCTGGGAGTTCCTGGGAGCTTTCCCCATCCTGGCTCAGATTGTGCTCTGTTATCATCATCCTTCTTTCCTCTCCTCTAAGCTCCTGGACGTAGGGCCCGCCACTGTGTTCTGTTCTGGGCACTCAAGGCATTTGTTGATTGATTAATTGGCAGGGTGGATTAGCTTTGTACTGCTGCAGTAACAAACTCACCGCCAGCTTACTGGCTAAAACAGCCGCAGTTGACTCTCCTCCAGATCTGTAGGCTGGACGCCCATAATGAGTCCAATGGGGCTAAAATCAGGGTATCAGCGGGGCGATCTCCTGGAGGTTCTAGGGGAGGAATGTTTCTTGGCTCTTCCGTCTTCTCTTCTGACTTAGGGCCCCATCATTCTCATCTCCCCTTCTATCATCCCTTTGTGTTCTTGTCTTCTGTAGTCAAATCTCCCTCTGCTTCCCTCTTTTAAGGACACTTGCAATTATGTTTAGGGTCTTCCAGCTGAATCCAAGATCATCTCCCTATCTCCAGATCCTTAATTCAGTTTCACCTGCGACATCTCTTTTGCCATAACATGTAACACTCACAGATTCCTGGGATGAGACCCATGATACCTTTGGGGGTCATTATTCAGTGTAACACACAGGGATTACAAACTCCAGCATCTACAGGGCCCTGGTAGCTTTGGAGGGAAGCAGGCTAAGTGTAAGGCATTAAGGAGAGATAGGGCCTTTGGTGAACTTGAAAGCACAGGCCCCCTCTAAGGGAACATCTGCTACCTGCCTGGGTATGTAGCTCTGGCTGCCTGGGGCTTCTTTAGGGAATGGGAGCCGAGACGGTCAGATCCTTCTCTTTCACAAGACACATGAGCTGTCTGGTCCATGTGTGGAATCTCCTGATCTTTAAATGTTAGAAATGACTCATGAGGAATAACAAAACACTGAAAGCAGAACCATGCCTCACCCCTGGGTGCGCACCCCCAGGCGGTGGGGTGCAGGCCTGTGCCCATTCCGGGTCGCCTCACCCCTCCCACCTCGACCTCGCCCGACCCTTCACAGCTGCCTTTGCTCTGGCCTCTACCGAACCTGGGTGTGCTCGGCTCATCTTTCTCCCAAGACTGCAAACTCCTCCAGGGCGGTGGGACATCTTCCAGCAGGTTCTTTGGTATTCCCCACAGCCTTAGCCTAAGAGAGCAAGAAGAAACCTGTCGCATGCCTGTCTGCTTGAGCAGAATTAAAAATGGACTCCACCTGTGGATCACTGAGCATATCAGTCCTTGACTGTACAAGAATCGCCCCAACCCCTTGCTCAGCCACAGATTTTTCCGGAGAGCAGGACAGCAGGCAGAGCAGAGACACTGATTTATTCCTAATCATAAACGTCCTTATGGCCTAAATCTGGAGAGCAGCCTATTGGGGCTTCAAGGATCGCAGCTTAAAAGTTTTTTAGGGCTTTCTGAGAAATGCTGGCTTTTTTTCCCAGGTGGCTAGTATGAAACAGGCAAGCCCTTCTCCCATCTGGAGGGTTGAACACGTCTCTCTGCTCCTTGGAGCTTGGAGATGGTTCGGATCCCTGTGTCCCGGACAGGTGGATGCTTCATGGCTGGTAGGGACAGTTCAGTCCTCGGTGCTTGGGACAGCACAGAGCCCTCAGAGAAGGAGTGGCAGCCCGCTGGGGAGGAGGGAGGAGCCCACGTGCTCTCACGTGGGGAAGGGGCTCTTCATCTGCCAGTTAACTAATCACTTTCAAGACAGACAAATCCATGAACAACCTCCTTATCATATGAAAAAGGTGAAGGATTTCCTAATTTATTAATTAGTTATTAAGTAAAAAGTCACATAAATCCCTTTCCCTTTTGACCTTATGGAAAAGAATCCTCAGGTGCACTGATTTCCTTAGTGCACTGACTTGCCAATTCATCCTTGATTTTTGGAACACCAGCAAGAAGGTGCCCCTGGATGGGCACTCCTCCACTGTGACACTTGCCCCCAGGGCCAGGCCCTCCCCCACCTAGGCCTGTGTGTCAAAACTACTAGGAGTCCCAAGAGTGGGGTTTCCTGCTTCCCCGTGGCAAGAAGCCCTCCCTAGACTTCTGCGAAAGTTTCTACTTAGATCATTAGTTGTGTTTAGACCCTTGACCTGGCAGCATGCCCAAAGCTAACCCTCGATCTGGATGTTTTAAACAGCCTGCAAAGCTCTTAACTGACAAAAAAGAGAGAAGATGTCATAGGCTCCTGGGTCATGGGCCTGCCAGTCTTCTTGCCGCCCCACCGCCTCAGGGTCTGGGATGGTACGCTGAGCCTGAATAGGGAATATGGGGCCTGACAAGGACGAGTGTGCTGGGCCCAGGCATGAGCAACAGCTCAGGATATCTGAAATCAGAGTGCGTAGTCAACGCGACAGAGCTTTCGTCATTCAGAACTAGGTCCCAGAGGTGCACAGGTGACAGACAACCTCCTGCCTCTCTGGGCTGGGGCCAAGGAACCACGTCAAAGTCTTGATTCCCTCCCATACTTAACTCCTTGACCCTGCCCCTGCATCACCCTCCCCCTGCTCGTCTGCCTCTCATCTTCCATTCACCCAGCGCTCACCTGTACCCACCAACCCGGCACCTGCATCAGGGCTCCAGGTTAAGGAGAAGCTCATGCCCACTCCCCACCCCCTTCTTTCCCCTCTCTCCTGTGCCAAGGCGCCGATGAATACAGAGTGAGGCAAAGAAGGAGCTAAGGAACAGCTGGGCAGTCTTCCTGGAGTCTTCTCTTCCTCTCCTGCAGCTTCTCCCTGGTGCGTTCTGCCTGCCCCCAGCGGCCACCAGCGCAGCCCACCCGTAGCCCCTATGCTGTAGGCCTCAACGTCTTAGGGATCTCTTGCCTCACCCGAGACCTGGCTTGGTTCCCCCATGACACCGTCCCACAGCACGCTTGTATGTAGTTCTTCTCCATTACTCCTATTAATTTGTAAGTAATTATCTAATTCAATTTTTAGTTGCATTTTCCTCTCCTGTTTCCAATTCGATGTGAAGCTCTAAGAAGGTAGAAATCCTGTTATGTTCCTGGCTCTATCCCGAGTGCCTGGGGCCTATTTAGAACTTAATAAATATTCACAGAATGAGTGAATAACGAGTGAGTGATTTTATCTTGCCCTAAAGATGTGCCAGTGTTGTGCTAGGGGTACAGACGTGAATTAGATCTGTCCTCGCTTTTGAGTGGCTCGCAAGCTAGTAGGAAGCAGATTTGTGGAAAGCCGACTTTCACTCAGTTTGTATCATCAATGCTGATGAGGATGGTGAGGGAGGGGGAAGACAGGCAGGGAGCAGGAAGCCATCCGTGATCTGGGAGCAGAGGAGGGGTGTTGCCTTTTGAGCTAAATCTTAAGAATTGAGTAAATGTTTTTAGGCAAGATACCAGGAAGTTACTGCCAGAGAGGAATTCCATGACCAAGTCACAGGAGGGCAGAAGGTGAGGTGTTTGAGAAGCTGGCATATATAGGAAGAGTCTCTGGACAGGAAGAAGGTAGGGCCGGAAGGGACCCAGGTTGCGAATGGCCTCGAATGCTGGGCTGCTGGGTGGGGCTGCAGTGGAGTCCCCGTGTGCTTCTGAACAGGGACCTGGGTTCACGTCTGACTTTGAGAACAGTGTCTTGAACACTGAAGCCCAGAGAAAGATGGAGAAATGTGGAGGCAAGTCCATTCCAGAGAGACCCTTTGTCTAAGCCGGAAGCCAACCAGGCAGATGCCTACCCCTCCTGGTTCCACCTGCAGGTCTGGCTCTCTGGCCAAGCACATACTAAGGACCTTGACTGAGAGGTCTTTCGATCTCAGCTCAAATGATTTTGTCCATAGTTGGCTGTCCTGGGTTTTAATCTGTAGCACACCTTCATGCCGTGCCCCATCCTCTCTCTCTTGGAATGTCCTCTCTGACATCTGACTTTTTTTTTCTTCTCTGCTCACTTACTACTCCACTCATTTTGCCACACCAATTATGTGTCCCCTTTAGAAATCTCTGAAAACAGAGACAAACAAATAGAAAAAGAAAAATCACCCCGAATGCCATACCCCAGACGTAACCCCTTTTGGTAGATTTGAGCAAGTTCTTCAGGCCTCATTCTGTGTTGGTGCCTAAACATACATATGTGTGTGTGTGTGTGTGTGTGTGTGTATGTATAACATATATGAAATATATGTATTATATATAATAAAATATGTAATAAATATATAAGCATATATCTAAATATATCAAAAGACATAATCAGCATTTTCTTTTCTAGAAAGCAGCAGACTTCCTCCACTCCTTATGATTGTATTACTATTTTTATGTGCAGCACAGGAGCGTACTGCAGGGCTGGCTTGGGGGATAGGTGCGCCCAGGGAGCCAGCGTGTGTGGTTTCCGCATGATGCTGTCTCCCTGAGCTCAAGCGTGGCATCAGGATGCGGGTAAAGAGGTATATCCCCGAGCACCATGCATCATGTATTATTCAGAATTGTCAATAACAAGGCTATCATTTATTAACTATAGGCAGTTAACAATCACAGCTCTATTGGGTGGGGGGGGTATGTGAAAGCGTCCCCATCGTAGAGATGACAGAAGTGAAGTTAATTGCCCAGGATTGCACAGCCATGAAATAAAAATCCCAGGGATTTGGAGGCAGTTGTCGGGAGCATGTGCTTCCTGTCTGCAGCTTTTGTTCAGCCTGGCACATGTCTCTCAGCCTCTGGCCTGGGGCGCTGACAGGACTTTGATTAAAGGTGGAAGCTTAGAGACTCATGATGGGGATGGGACAAAGTGTGGGCAGTGGAACCTCCCCTGCCCCCCACCTGGTAAATAAGTAACAGCCAGCACTCTATGGCGGGGCAGGGAAGCCCTGATTTGGAACATTTGTCCATTTCCGTGGTGTGAATAGTCTCACATTGGCTAATTTCAGGCCACAAACAAGATGTCACTAAACGTGGATTGGTAAGAGATGCGCTAGAGGACACGGTCAATGGCCTTGGCACCACACAGATGAAAGATAATCTCAAGGCATGCATAGTAGTAAAATGTAGCGGAATAATCAGGATGCGATAAATTGTAAGAATTTATGACTTTGGCTTTTCACGTGATTTATTTCACTGTAAGCTGATATCGTTTAATTTTTAATGATGGTCATGTGTAACAACTAGCTTGCAAAATTCCTGGAGCTGGAGCCCGCTCCAGCTGCACACCACTGCCACGTGGTGTCTACCTGTTAGAAACAGGAGCCCCCTCTGGGTGTTGCTGATCTCTGCCGGGGTGCCTGGGGTGGCCAGTGGACTGTGGGCTGGAATTAGGCATTTAATCGTTCTCTCAGCAGGATGTCCTGGTGCAGGACACAACTTACATAACTGTACATTATCGTCCCCGAGAGAACAGGCAACAGACACGAAATCAGCACTAGCCGCCACCACATCCGTCCACCAGGCTGAGTGTATTCTCTGTCTGTGCTATCCAAGATGGTAGCCACCAGCCACCCGTGGCTCCTGAGCATTTGAAATAGTTGGGCTTGGACCACCGAAACACTGAATTGAATAGATAATATATATCATATAATATATAGAATTTTATGATCAATAGACATAACATGAAATTGACCCCCTGAAGTGTACATTTCAAAGGCATTAAGGACATTCACATTGTTAGACAACCGTCACTGGCATCCGTCTGCAGAACTTCTTCTCATCATCCTAAACTGAAACTCTGTGCTCATTAGAAGCCAGTTTCCCCTTCCCTCCAGTCTCAGTGTCCTGCTTTCTATCTCTACAAAGCTGACCACTCTCTGGACCTTCTCTAGGTGGCATCCTGGAGTGTTCGTCCTTTGGCGCCTGGCTTTTTTCACTTAGCATAGCGTCTTCAGGGCTCATCTGTGCATTAGCCAGTGAGACACTGAATTCTTCAATTTATTTAGTTTTCATTCACTGAAACCTAAATAGCCTCACGTGAGTCGTGGCTGCTGCATTGGGCAACGCGGCCCTAGGAATGTTGCCAAGAAACTGTTGGTTAAGATGGAGGCAAGGTCCCAGTCGTGGTACTTGTGTCCTGACTTTTATGCCTGTTGACAATGAGAGCTGAATACGGGCGCAGTCCCAGGAGTCAGGACACAGGGGACAGTGCGTTTGAGGCCGAGCTGGGGACCACTCAGAGGACTTGACACGGGCTGGTGTAAATTGGGCTAAGCTAATGCAGGGCCATCGTGAGACTCTTATCTCCAGGGGAGCTGGTGTAGAAAAGACCCGGGCTTCTGTCACTTCTCTGTTCCAACTTAACAGATCCCCTGAAAGACACCCTCCCCAGCAGGTGTGGTCTGTGGGGGCTCCATGATATTCCCTGCAGTTTCAGAAGGGGCGAGGCTGGATCCTGGTCCTTGCCTGGGGGTGGGCATGTGGGACAGTCAGGAAACCAAGAACCTGGGCTCTCTCCATGCTCTGGAGGGGAATTGGTGGGGTTAGAATAGGAGCAGCCAGCACCTGGGCATCCAATAGGGCCTTGTTTTAGAGATTCCCGGTGCTCACATGTGCCCTTGAAATTGCCTGTGGTCAACGTGAGTCGTCCACTCACCTCCTAGAAAGGGCCGAGGCTGGGAATGGATGTGAGGGCCTGGAGGTTGCAAAAGAGCAGAGACGGTTTTAAACTACATCTATCCCGGATTCTAAAGTGCAGCAGGTCAGCCAGATGGGAATTTGAATCCAGATTCTATCACTTGCTATTTTAGGTAACCTTGGGCAAGTCCCTTCGTCTCCCCGACCCTCTGATGCTTCATCTGGGAAAGGGAACTTGAGGGTTACCACGACGTGAATTTAGACACCACGAATCACATTTAATAAGCTCCAAGTCCATGACAGGGGACACTCACAATGATTACGAGGACTCCCAGTTTTTAACTGGCTAACCAGATGACCTCCACCTTCCCTTGGAAGGCTGTAGACCGACGTGTGCTTCCTGAGCATAGGGCAGAGGGCGTCCTGGGGCTTTTCTCTGAGGCAAAGGAGAGCCACAGAGACCCTGGACAAGCCTGCGGAGCCTTCTGGAAAATCACCTCTTGGCTCTCCCATTTCAGCGCCAGCGGAAGGCCCTTCCTGCTGTACATGGGCCTGGCCCACATGCACGTGCCCTTATCCAGAACACAGCTCTCAGCAGACTCACAAGGCCAGAGGCCATATGGCGCGGGTCTCCGGGAGATGGACAGCCTGGTGGGCCAGATCAAGGACAAAGTTGACCACACAGCGAAAGAAAACACATTCCTCTGGTTTACAGGTGAAGTAGTCCAACCCAGCCAGCTCACTGAGATCTAATGGATAACCCTGCCCACCCCTGCTCTGAAGAGCAGAATCCGGCTGAGTGATCCTTTTTCACAGGGCAGGGGGCTTGCTTTGAACTTGGCGTCCTGCTAGTGTTTTTTGGCCCGAGTGCCGAACACCTGCCCACTGGGGCCTCCAAGGCTGAGCCGCTGGGAGAGTTTGCTCAGAGAGCAGGTACCCTGCCGGCCTCTTCTGTATTGAGTTAGGGCCATCTGGGCAGTGACTTTGACATTGCAAACCTGTGTAGTCCTTGAGTGGTTCTCAGGTTCCCTCCTCACCGTCTTCCCAGTCCCAAAGACTCCAGTCGCTACCGGTCACCAGGTCACATCTTCTGGATCAGTGGGCTGAACTCGAGAGCTGTTAAAAGGGCCTATCCAGGCATTGTGGGTCCTGGGTGCCTGTCTGGAATGGGGGCAGTGGTTGCAAGCCCTGCTCTCGGGGCAGGCAGGGACTCGGGCCAGGACTCTTTACCGTCTCTGAGCCTGTTTCCTCACCTACAAACTGAGCTCACGATAGTGTCTACTGCATAGTGTGTTGGACGATCATGAGATCATGTCGGGGAGGCACTGGGTGTCCCCTAGGCGCTCAAGAAAGAGCTGCAGGGCTAAGGACAGTTATAAAACTATATAGATGATAGTAGTATTGAAGACAAGAACGTCCCCCTGGGGCTAACTCGGGGCAGGGAAAGCGCACCTCTCTGAGCGCCCAGTAGAGGCAGGCCTCTCGTGACAGGTCATTCTTCAGGGGCAGGGATCGTACTTGTTTTTACAGATTCTTGTCTGACTGAGACAGGGATATGGGACCAGGGAGAGAGAATTGGCAAAAGCATCCATGAGCCTATTGATCGCTACATGTTGCTTCTTTTGGTTTCCAGGAGACAACGGCCCGTGGGCGCAGAAGTGTGAGCTGGCAGGTAGCGTGGGTCCCTTCACTGGATCGTGGCAAGTTCATCAAGGTAGGGACTCAGCTGGGGTTGGCGCCTCCTACTGGGGATGCTGAGCCCAGGCTGGCTGTGGGGTCTGTCTCTGGGAGGATCAGCTTCTCTGCAGGCCTTCTGGCTGGCCATCATTACGAACCCCAGAAAAGCTGTTCACCAGCCACCAGCTCCTGGGGAAGAAATCAACGGAGAGATGAGAGTTTCTCCTGAGCCTGACCACCCCACATCCCACCGCCCCGGATTCCCTTGGGATGGGCCCTCAGTCCGACCTTCCAACAAATACACTTCACCTTGACTTTCATCCCACTGCCCTTGCTCATCCTCCTTGCTTCTTTTCTTTCCTTTTTTATTTTTTTTTCGGTCATCTCTCCATCCACCCAACCAGGGATTCATTTCATCCATTCAGGAAACATTCAGGGCATAAATATGCAAGGTCTTTATACACATTATCCCTAAACGTTACAGCACAGGAAGGTGGGTCTTAACACCTCTATTTACATATGAAGAAGGAGAGCCTCAGAGAAGCTAATAACTTGCCCAGGGTCACACATCTTGTGGGGGGGCAGGCTTGCTCCCCGGGTTCAAGTCAGTGAGCTCCCCGCTGCACGACACTGCCTCTTTCCACTTAAACCTCTCTCAGCGCCCAGCTCAGTGCCCATGTGCTCTGGGAAAGCTGCCCTCCAAGGATCTCACTTTCTAAGACAGCTGCTGAGCTGGGGACAATTTGGCAGTAAGGACCGAAGGCTTGGAAAATATGCCTGTTGATGCATCAGTTCTTCCTGATTAGCCAAGTGCACAATAATAGATGTGAAAGGATGGTCATCACATGGGTTTTTTAAAAAAATAGTTGGGCTTTACCCAACTGTCCAGCGAGAGAAGAGTACTTAAGGAAGTGGTGATAAGCACATTTAAGGAAATTCTTGGGAACTGCTGGAATGATGCATATTATTGACCAGGAAACACTTGTCTTAAATACTCCTCAGCGAGTAAAGCAGGTTACAAAGCAATATATAAAGTTTGATTTTATTATATGAAAACAAGCATACTAATCCTCAGGATAAGTCTTGAGAGAGGTATCAAAAGTTAACAAAAAATTACCTTTGGGTGGGGGAAGGAGGGTTTATGTGTGATTTTTTTTTTTTTTTTCACAACAAACTGGTCTTATTTGTGTCCTAAAAAATTAAAATAAATCTTTTTGAAGCTGGTTATATCCAGGGGATTCAGAGGTGGGCTTGGGTGGATTCCCCCCTCCCCAGGCTGGGCTTTCCCACTGTCCAGCCTCCTGGGCTATGGCTTCCACTGTCTCCAGGTCAGAGGACACAAACTGCTTTTCCCGTTAGTCTGGCAGAATATCTGTAGTTACCTAGAAACTAGAATGTTCGTGTATCTCATGGCTGGTGGCGAGAAAGACGTGCTGACCATTGTCACTTTCAACCTGCTGTCGGTCCAGTCAGATCCCCCGAGAACTTCACAGGTGACGCGTCTGTGGCCAGGTCTTGTGCCTGGAGCCTCAAGTCGGGTGTCAGGAGAACTGGGTGCCCCACTCCCTCCCCGTTCGGTGATGGGTCAGCTTCATTTCACCTGTTGTTTCTCTGCAAATGTAGCGACTGCTTTGACCAGTCTCATTCAGGAATGCTCTCCGGAGAAACGGGCAGGAAAAGCTGCCAGGCCGAGAGGAGGGTATAAATGTGCCTCGTCGTTGCAGCAGTAGGCGAGAGAGATGGGGCGGGAGCCGGGAGTGGTTTGCGTTAGCTGATTGTAATTGCTTCTCTCGCAGGCCAAGGCTACTGGCTGCAGTGTTCAGCTGGAAAGCCTGAACCAGCCTGGAATCAGGACTCTTGAGGGTAAAATTCCAGAAGGCTATGGAGATCTGGCTGGGGCGGGTCGGACTGCGTCAGTAAGTGGCTCCTCTGGAGGTAGCTCTCCTTTCCCTAAGAAGTTGACCTCTGATCTCCTATCTAGACCAGCCTTATCTTGTCTCTCTCCCCTTTATGAGACAGTTTTGAAATAGTGAGTTAGGTATCACGATGGAGCATGGGGCTCTCTTCTTTGAGGGAAGTTCTTTGCCACGTGAGAAACACAATTTTGAGGGGTGCCTGGGTGGCTCAGTTGGTTAAGCTTCCAAGTCTTGGTTTTGGCTCAGGGCATGACCTCAGGGTGGGGGGATTGAGTCCCGTGCCGGATTCCGTGCTGGGGTCAACAACGCACCTGACTTTAAGGAGGGACGGTCTGGAGCAGTGTTTCCCACATTTTAATGCGCAGATAGTCCCCTGGGGATCCTGCAGTCCGGACTTAGCAAGTCCGGTGTGGCCACGGACACGGCGCATTTCTAACAGGTTCCTGGGGGACACTGAGGTGGCTTGTCCAGGGATCAGCTCCTGGAACTGCCAAGCCTGAGTGTCCATGAGGAAACCATATGGGCCTAAAACTTTCAGATCGAGACCAGTAGCTGCCGGACTGTGGTCCCGGACGCGCAGCAGTGGTGCGACCTGAGAACTTGTTAGATGCGTGGGTTCTAGGACCTCACCCTGGACCTACTGAGTCAGAAGCTCTGGGGTGGGGTCCTGGCAATCTGTGTTTTACCGTGTCCTTCAGGTGATTTTTGATGCAGATGAAAAATCCGAGCCCCTCCTGTCGAGAGCTACCCTGTCTCGTATGCCAGACACCCTGGCCACACTTGAAGGGCTCAGAAGCCACATGTGGCTAGTGGCTGATGGCTGCCATATTGGATAGTGTGAATAGAGAACATTTCTGTCACTACAGGCAGTTCAGCTGGACTGTGCTGGGAGCCTCCACTGAGGTGGGAGATTATAATCCTGGATAAGGACTCCAAGAGAAAGGGGAGTGCAAGGGCATCTCGCTCACCAGGGAGGGAGACAGGAAGGGTTTCCCGAGTGGTTTGAGTTTCGAAGAATGAGTAGGCCACAGCTAGGGATTCGCAGGGGAGCTGCCCAGCAGCTGTGTTTGTGTCTGGAGCTTGTAGGAGTGAATAAAGCAGGGAGAGACAAAGCCAAAGGGAGAGCTGAGGCCAGGGGTCAAGGCTCTTTCGTTTTCCTTCAGACCATTTTGGCCTTAATTCTAAAGAAACGTGGAATCTTGGAAAGGCTTTATGAGTAAAAGCGACGTGATTACATTTTATAGACTCTGTAACAGAAGATTAACCCTGTTGATGTGTATGGTTCAGTGGCGTGGAGCACATTTGCTACGGGTGCGGCTCTCACCTCTGCCCAGCCCCGGGCCGTTCCCTCCCCCAGTGAAAACTGCCTGTACCTTCAACACTTGCCCCCCACCCCCCTCTCCCAGTCTTCCCAGCCCCTTGTTGAAGTTTAGAAGACCTTTCTTATGCCCGGCAATGTCCCTGTATTCAAAGAATGCCAGGATAGGAGGACACCTCAGCAATCTTTATCCCCGCCACCCGGTCGGCCGCACAAGGAGACGGAGGCTGAGGAGGGTGGAGGGCTTTCCGCAGCCAGCAATTGGTCAAGGGGGCCGTGTCATTTGACCTCCACCAGTTCATTACTCAACCTGCCTGATGGTTGTTACTCATGGCCTGTTATACCCGGCTAACTGCTCAGCCTTCTGGAAAATCCTGCACTGCTTCCTCGGACCCCATGGTCATCAAGGAAAATATCTTTGGCCTCTGGAATGGTGTGAATCTTTCTGAATCTGCAGGAGGCAGAATGGAGAAGTGTGGGAATCCAAGGGCTTTGGAAGCCCTGTTGGGGCTCGAATCTTGACTCAGCTTAAGAATCCCTGACCACTGGGCCCCTCCCCTGGACAGCCCAGTTAACTCCCCTGTAAAGTGGGTTGTAGACCCTGCTTGTGCGTGTCCTTTCCTAACCCCTGTGATTCTCCATGTCTTCATTCCCAGCTGAAAGAGACTAGTCAGTGTTAATGTCTAGCCCCACCAAAGGCCATGGGCAACTTAAATAATATACGGGCGACTTTCCAGTGTTCTGAGCTTCCGTCTTGCTCTGAAGCTGGATTGCGGTCTTCTCATTTCATACTCTGGTGAATTTGGATCGTTTTCCTTGGAGCAGCTATTTTAGAATATGTGTATGCCAAGGGCCACCACAGGGTCTTCAGCCCAAGCCCGTTCCTTGTGGGATGGTTGGTTAACAGTCTGGAAGCTAAACTGGTCAGTATTACTGTCTGGTCCTACCAGAAATAGCCAGTAACATCTGACGATGAAAAATGAATGAGATATCTCCAGGAAACAGTCGGACTTACCTGTTTTTGAGAATATGACTTCTTCCCCTCTGCTGCTCTAGATGTTGCTTTCACATAGGACCAGAAAATGGAATTTTTCACAGCTAAAGCATGTGTGTGTTGTTTTTCTGATCAAGCAAAGCTAATCTATTCAAGTCAAATAAAATTATAATATTAATAAATTTTTAAAAAGAGAACACTCTTTTTGGGGGCGAGGCATAAACACGTGTGGCTTACTGTGTGCCTGGGGGGCGGGAGTGGTGGTGCACAGTACTGAATTCTTGGTGGGGAGGGGGCCGGATGCCATTCTCCTCTTTTCTCAGGAAAGCCTGAAGGTGAACTTTGCCTGGGGTAAACACTTCCCCTTCCTCATTCTCCAAACGGGCTTCCCGTCCGGCTCCTCCACACCCCTCCTCCGCCTCCCTGCTCGGAATGCTGCTTGGGGGCTCCGGGAAGTCAGGCAGACCCCTGTGTGAAGGGGCGAGGCAGGGGGGCTCAGGTCCCGGGAGGGAGGCTGGGGGTCCCTCTGGACCACCTGCTCCTCATCCAGCTTCCTCTTCAGGGGGATGCCTGCACATCTTGCTGCAAGGGGCCGGTCTTGAGAGCAGATGGAAGGGCGAAGGCAGTCAATGTTTTCGCAACAGAGGAGGACAAACAGTACCCAGAGCCCTGCTTCTTTCTCCCCGTGGCCAGCCCGCTACGTCAGGCCACGCGCTGTCTTCCCTTGTTCCTGGGGCCCCGGGCCCCCCTCCTTGTCTTCCCTTTCCTTTCCTGGCCAAGCTGCCTTGCTCAGCTGATGGGATGAGGCA